AGAATGAATGAATTGGTCGCACGTTTCTGGAATACGGATTTGAAACAAACTCAAGTTTAGGATAATATTTTAAACATTATATTTTATCTTTGTATTTTAGTTTAAATAGGTTTTAGTATTTTAATTAGGATTTAGGATATTATTTAATTTTATTTTTGTTTTAGGTATTTTAGTTTAAATAGTGTTAAGTGTTTTAATTAAGATTTAAGATGTTATTTTCTTTAGCTTGTTTTTAGGAATTTGAATGCTATAAATACCCTCTAAGGGTGAGCCTAGAAATATATCTCTCTCATCTGAGAATTAAATCTTCTTTTTCTCTCTAGTTTTCTCTCTATTTTTCGCACACTCCTTTATTTCCCTTTAAAATTTGGTTTTCAAATATGCTAAGCATGACTTTGGCCATGCTTAGCAAAATTTCTTTCTAGCCGAAGGCTAAAGCAAAGGCTCAATTTCAAACGTGACAATTGTAAGGTACTTAAATCGCTTCAGATTTTTCTCTCTATTTTTCTGAGCTTACTTTTCAAATCAAAACGATTTCGACATTGGTATGGATGTTGTTATGGTTAACATTCGAAGAAGGGTTGGCTTATTGAAGCATATTCAACTTCCCGAGAACACACTTAGCAAAATTGTTTGCTAAGAGGAAACTGAGATCGGAACCAGTTATTGTTGAAACAACATAATCCGAGTCAGCAGCAAAGAATTGTCCTTGTAAGACGACGTGAATCTTGAAGTAAAAATCAGTTTCAATGATCCGAGGAATTTGAGGCAAAGTTAAAGTCTGAGGCTACTTTCACTATAAGTTCTCTTATCTAATCTCTTATATATTTAATTATTTTCTTTTATTTAATTCTTATATTTTATTTTAAAAACAACTTTTAAAACCCCTTTTTTATATTTACTAGTATTATTTATTATTTTATTATTTTTCCTTTTTTATAATTATTTATTTTATTTTAATATATCTTTTCAACTTTACTTGGAATTCTATCTTCTCTTAAAATCAAGAAACAATTTTAATGAATCAGAAACACCACAGTCCCTGTGGATCGACCTTGCTTCTCTATATTACCTTTCCCTTTCTATTTATTAAGAAAATATGAATTATTTTGATAACAAAACGACGATTATCATCATGTCAATACAACACTTGATGATATGGTTGATATGGCTATTGTATACTTCTTTCAGCCAGTCTTTTCTGTTTTGACTTCATTTCCTAATAGTAAAATTCAGTTTCTAGCATTGAATTATACTCTTGGATGTTCTTTGGTGTTATAACTGTTCATTTTGATTCTATTTGACAATGAAGGGTTTTAGTACTCATCCTCTTTTGAATTTATATTTGAAATTGACCCTTTGTTGCGTATTCGCATGCATGTTTCCTTTCTTTTGTTGTTTTATTTTATGTTACTTGGACCAGGGTGTTTGTCGGATATGGGTATGCATCCGACGTGAGTATGGTTAGACTTTTCTAAGGTTTGCTATATTTGGAGGATCCTTGTTGATCATATCCCCATATCTATGTGTGAGACAAAGATACTTCAAGAAAAATGAAGAGTCTGACCAACAGAGGTCTTATTTATCCCCTTGCGGACGATGTGATTAGAATAGAGATGCATGTCAAAGATGGATATTTTTGCATCAAGATTGAATATTTTGGTATTAAATGCTTCGCCTCTTCTTCCTCATTATATGACATTGAAGGCGACACTGTTTTGGTATTCTTGATTGATGGGATATAGACATCAGATTGATTGGAAATTGAAAGTGTATAATGTATTTGGATAAGTTTTTAAATCCAATTGTTGGTTTGTCAAAATATTCATTGAACTGGAAGTTATGAAAGAGAGTGACAATTGGAATCGTTAGAACACTACAATCTGATCCACTTTCTCTCACAATATGTATCACATACACACACACATATAGTTAAATGCAAAACTCTATTAAAATGAAAAAGAAACACAAGTACTTGGAAAAGAAGAAAGTACTAATGTTGCTATGAAATGTCTGGTATTTTACCTTGATGAAGATTAGTATTTGCTTTCCAAAGTGCATCCAGCTAACAGCCCACAAAACTCTTACCGGAAGTTGTTTGTTTCTCTGAAAGTTGAATATTTTGTAATATTACCATATTGGAAGGTAAATTCCATTAGCCACTCTGTTCAAAGTTGTTGCTGGACGTTGGTAGCTAATGTTCCGAGTATTGAACATCATGTACTTGCTTCTAAAAGGTCTCTAGTTGGTTTTAAATTCCTCATTAATTATCTTTTGTGACTATCCTTTTTCCCTAGCATGTTGTCTCTTCACAGTACCGATCAATCCTTAGATACTAGCGAGTGGGATGGTGTGATCTGGTCTATGATAATTTCTGATATTCTAACCTATGCTGGTTTACTACTGCTGGCAATTAACAAGATGGCCGAGAAAAACAAATCCCGTGTTTTCAGTTTTCATGGTTCTGAAACTCTTGGTTCATGCTTATAACTCCAGCCGTGTTCTGATAATGCTCCATTGATTTCAAAAATCCTTGATTCAGTGTTATCGAATATCATCTGATGGAAATCGGAGGGAAATGATTTCAGGTATCCTTTCTAGTTGTCCTGATCGGATTTTCAGTATCATACTGACTATAAAACACATTGTTGCTTGTTAACCTGTATCATTTACATTGCATCCTACTCTAATAACTGATCCAATTTTCTGCGTTTCAGGTGCACACAAAACAATGTATGCCCCAGAACCATTTGATGTTGGTCAAATTTTGCAGGCCGAGATTCTCTCAAATGACCAAAAAGTCTCTGTGATAACTGCCAATCCTATTGATTCTGGTTAGTTTTTGCCAAAATGCGTTTGTGTATTGATGAATGGAAAAGAAGGCAAGAAAGGCTGAGAAAGTTACTTTTACAGCTGCAGGTTTGGGAAGCTACGTAGACACTTTTGCGGAAATCTAGCGGTGAATTTAATGTGCGTTTGATTCCTTTCGATTTGTCCTTGGTGATATCATGATCATCATCTGTATGTGATGCTTTGCTAGTGTATGAATGTATTGATATAATACAAAGAAAGGGAAGAAAATAGATATCCATTGAATATCATTTTCCAGAATGTCTCATTGAGTAGTTTGGTCCATCATAAATTTTATTCTAGAACCAGTTGAAGTGGTAGGAATATTTGTCTCATCCAATTCTAATCGAAGTTTCTTCATTCCATGTCTTTTCTAAGTAGTCATTTCCCAGATCAATGGACAAGATCATTCATCACGCTCGACTCACACGTTCAATATTGGAAAGATGAGGATCAAGCTCTGTAGAGGATGGATCACAAAGTGCAGAGAAAACTATTCTACATCAATGCTGGAGATTATTTTACTCTTCTCTTACAAGTTTTTTTTATTATTCTTTAAACACTTTTTTACCGTTCTAACATTCTTTCGGATTTTCCTAATGAAGCTATGTGGAGCTAGAGGCCAGGCAAATGCTCCGACCAAGTCATTGTTTTGGCAACCGAGGAAAGGGCTCTCCTATGTATTAATATTTGAATCAGATAAGGAAAGAAATGCAACTATCATGGTTGCACGAAAGCACGCTCTTGATTGTAACGTACGCTCCTAACAACTTTTCGAAGAATCTCAGAAATCCATGTTACTTGCATCTATCTTGATACATCATTTTTGCTGCAGAACTTAACTGAAATGTGAATGAATATGTTGTGATTATGCAGGTGATGCTGGCAGGACCAGATGATGAAATGTAGAAGTTAAAAATATATCTAACTGAAAGAGAGTCTTTATAAATGAGATAAAAAGCAAGGGGTTTAACTGAATGATTGTTTTTCGGTTTGCCTAATCACCAGTTGTAACATGTTTTTGCTTTTCTTTTTCAATTGATTTGATTGCTTGATTTGTGCTTCATTTGCTCCTCATTTTTACTTAATGTTTGATTTATCATGTTCGATGTTTGCGACTTTCACTTCCATTCTTCTAACAATGTCATCTCAGAGTGCTCTTAATACGTAAAATTTGATGACAAGTTAATAATCAGCTTGTAATGTTACAACTTTTTCTTTTCTTCCTCCATTGAAAACCTCCATAGAAGGAAGACGGTAAAATACTGCCCGGAAAACTGTGGTCTACACTGCACCCCACAAAAATCACATTGAAGCAACAACGAAGCTTGACCGCTGATCCATGCTAAAGAGGTGGAGATACTAAAAGGCGATAGGAGATGACCAAGTTAGAGGATAAACACGGAAATTCGACTCCGACAAAAATGTGGAAAAGCATACAGACAAAGCAAAGGTAGAGGAGACATTGCCTCCCGACGGCAAGTAACCTACGAAGACAAAGGAGGGTCAAGCTTCCTAGCTGAAAGGGAAGATGCGAGGCTAAGGATAACCCAAGGAACTTTGTTTTTGCAAAACCAATAAAGGAATGAGTATACATCATTGCCAAAGACACTTTCACTACAAATATATACTTACAAATACAAACATGATTCATTTAGTTAGATCACAAATCTTCATAACATAAATTGCATACTTCGACATACACAATTTGTGCTATTCATCACAAATATTAGAACCAATCAAACAATATTCTAAAGATGGAAAATTTATTAATTACAAATTCTATCAAATCCATGTTAACCTTCGATTCATTCTTCACAAGCCATCAAACTTCAATCAAGGCAGAACAAAATAGGAGGGGTAGCATTCGATTCGATTAGTTTTCTGCTACCATACACTGTTACATTGATGATAACAGACATTCCAATATGAGGCCAGAAGAGGAAAAAATCAAATGATTAATATATAAAATAAAATCAAGTGAGACACTAATGAAATAAGAATTATAAGTACTATTGCACTTTTGAACCTAAGATGAAGAAATCATTACCAAAGAAGCTATCTTGTTGAAGCTAACAATAACCATCCACATTATATATGTTTACTTGATTTAGGCCATTTGAAGTTAGAAATTGAAGAACTGCCTTGATCTTTTGTGGAATTTTCCACTTCCTATGTGAGATTCTACATTTAATAATCCTCAAGAGAGATTAGTATCATTTATGATAGAGAAAAGCAAAAGAATAAATTAAAATGTATTTAGACTTACCTGAGCGTTAGAAGTAGAAGGTTTGCTTTGATCTTCTTTAGAAGTCTCACCTTCCTCCTTCATCGCATGCTGTTATGATTATCGGGTGAATACCATAATGAAATATATATTTTTATGTTACCATGTAACTCATAGATTTGTATTAGATGCAATGACTATGTATAAGTTCATACACAATCTGTGATTTACAATACACAACTTGAATAAATCGTATATTTTTTAATTCGTATATCTAATGTAATTTGGTCCTCTGTTAGTATAATATGAACCTGTATTAATGGATTTTCAATTTTTTCATTATATTTGTATAAGATTTATACTAACCTGTATGAATGAATGTGTATATATTGTTTGTAGTGAGTAGAATGTAAAGGCAATTACAGCAAATTTGTAAAATAGTATATAAAAATGAAATTTGAAAAAACATACCTTTTCTCTGAATAGGTGTTGTATGGTGCTGTTAAGGTTGCCTTCCCATTGCAGCCTCTTCAAGTTGTCCATTTCATAAATTTCATATCTCTCTATCACAGGAAGTATAACCTACATACGTAATTGATTGGAATGTATCAGCAAGTATATATCATTTTATTTTTTTCAATTTTCTCATAAATCCCATCATCATGCATCCAACATTAAAAATAATTTTGAACTTTTTGACTCTAAAATGCTGGATTGTCTTACAATATTTGTGGTGTAAGAAGCTAATTGTACAAGAACCAAACTCTAGAACTGCAAATAGGCTGCATATGATTGATTTTGTTTTCTTTTTCCTCTAAAAATATTGTTTTTATATTTTTTTTTACAATTAATGATTTTTTATTAAATTAAAATAGTAACTATTTTTTATTCCTGGATGTATTATCACTAAAACTAATAACTAGAAGTGAAACAATTCTTATATATCAAAATATATGCTTTATTTTCCAGATAAGAAATATCTATGTATTCATGAATAATTAAAGCATACCTTTTCACTGAAGATATAATTTGGCGGTGCTTCATCGCTCTTTCCACCACTATAACAAAATAACGTATTAAATTCAGGACATTTTTTTAGCGTTAAATGCCTTAGCGAGGGAAATTCAATTGGATAATTTCCACTACAAAATCTTTTTCATTTTGGAAGCCCATAGAGAGACACAGAGTCAAGTTTAGGGAACACACTTATGCTGCCTCTAAGTTCAACTCCTCCAAAGCAGGACAGGAAACCTGCAAATATATAAAACTCGTGTTTCATATCCCATCATTAACAGTAATTCTTTCTTAATTATCATGCAGAACATATAGTTTATTTTGGAAAGTAATAAGTTTTTTTAAAATATTACATAAAGATAATAAAAGACATGAAAAAGAATTCTTATAATTGTTTTAAAATTTAATTTCTTAAAAAAAATTAATTGAATCGATGCCACTTAGCTCACAGCATCATAAAATAGTGAATAAATATATACTCTTTTATCAAAATAAGATAAATATAATTACCTTTTTATCAAAAAGCCATGTGACGGATTGGAATGTATTTTTTGAATGCCCAGAGCCATTAAATTTATTCAGTCTTTCTAACTTTAAGAAGCATAGTTTACTAAATTCCAAAACGTCATTCTTGCTAATCTCTTCCTTTTCTACAATTAACTCTGTGAGGTTCTTGCAATCTGATACCTCAAGTTCTTCAAGCAGGCGAAGTCTTTTAGCTATGGAAAATGAGAACAAATTCTTTAACCTATGGCAGCTCTTGACTTTCATGAATCTTAATTGCCCAAAAGATTCAACACTTGGGTAATACAGCATTTCCTCAACATCTTCCAATCCCTCGAGATATAGACTTTGAATTTTTCCCAACAGCAATTTAATCCCATTAACCAAATGAATAATTTTATTCATACGGAGCTAAAACATTCTTGATGTTTCCACCCTCTTCAGATCAGACCAACTCCACATCTCATTTCCAATTGAAATCTTGAACCTTTTCATCTTTCCGAGAAACAAGTTATCCTTTGGTATGGCTTTCGCATGACGAATATGTATTTCCAAAGTGGTTAGACGAGACAAATGCTGCAACTCAACAAGACTAGCTTTGCTTCCTCAAAGCTATAATATAGTTATAGTTCTTCCAATCTAGATAAACTTGACAACACATTCGGTGATATTACTTTAAGACGGCGGCATTCTGTCAAATCTAGTAATTTTATCCTGGTCAACTGTCCTATCTCCTTTGGAAGCATTTCCATTCTAGATCCACGGAGGTCAAGGATTTCTAAGTTTTCCAACTCTCCAAAGATGGCTATATCTTCTAAATCACAGTCTATCAAACGCAATGTACAGAGAGTTTTCAAAAAACCAAGAGAGGAAGGCAAGGTTGTAAAATTTGTTTTACCAAATTCCAAGACTTTGAGTCGTTGCATTCCCTTAAAGAAGTCATTTGAAATTTTCAAAGATGAAAAACGATCCATACCAATTGAGAAATAATTAAGGGTTGGACATTCTAACTCATGATAAAGAATCTCATTGACCTCCGCATTCTGTAAGCTTATCAGCTGGCTTTCTTTCATTTTCTTCTCATTTGGCAACTCTTTGAATAAAGCTAGCCAATGTCGATCCCTTGAAGCTATGGATTGGGCAGCATCACGTACAACGTCGTGCATGTCAAAACAGTTTGGGTGAGAATCTTCGAGTAACAAACAAGAGGCCGTGAGATTGTTTACCAATGTCAATACTCTACCTCGACTCTCTTCCATGGTGTTAACATCATGGATAAAACCCAAACCAATCACATATCTCAACAATTCCTCCACGGTAGCATTATGACCCATTATGCTACATAGTAAAAAGATTGGCCCAAGTTCATCACCTTCTAGAAACTTATAGCTTAACTCTATTGCTTTGTATGCATATGCTGGTATGCCTTCGAAATTTGTTTTAGAGGGCTTACTTAGTTGTCGCAAAGCATCCCTCCATTCAAACAACTTATCTTTAGGCTTTAAAGCCTTTGCAATTGTAGCAATAGCGATTGGCAATCCTGCACATCTTTTGACAACCTCAACTGCTATAGATCGTATTTCAGAGCATTCAACAATATGACCAGCCATTTTTTTGAACAGTTTCCAAGCTTCATCTTCTTTCAATGTTTCAATTGAAATGTTTGGTTGAGAATCCATCCTTTTTAACACAACAAGCCTCCTAGATGTCATCAATATCTTGCATCCCCTGTGTTGGTCTGCTGAAGGAATTCCAAGTGTGTCCACTTCCTGTTCCTCCCAGATATCATCCAATATGACAAGAACCTTCTTGGATTTCTTCAGTCGATCGCATAGCCGGGCTGCTCGCACATCAGGGCTTGGGTCGTTGTCTAGTTTCATTCCCAACTGATTGGCGATCTCATTTTGAAGATTTACTGTCTTTGGAGTTTGTGTTACAGCTACGAAGACCACCTCATCAAAAGACAGTTTCACCTTGGCTTGTCTGGCGATCTCTTTGACAAGTGTGGTTTTACCCACACCCCCCATCCCGTACACTCCAATTTTACTGACAGTATCATCTTCCAATGTTTCCATGAGCCCATCAAAAGCAACGCTTCTTGATCCGAAGGCCTCGAACTCTTTGACAGGTCTGATAATGTCTGTCACTTCAACTGCAGGAAGGTAGGAAACATCCTCAAATGCATCCTTTTCACTCAGGAGTTGAGCTATGGCATTGGCCTCCTTTTCCGCTTTCCTGCTAAGCTGATAACGGGACTTGAAATCGGGGCAAAAGCCGACGAAACACCCCTTGGTTGCTTTCTCTTCATCCTCCCGCAACTGCCTTGCGGCCTGCTCGGAGATCTTCTCATCGGTCACTGTCAACCACCTTTGAACATCATCAAAAATCAACTCCCCCTTCCTGGTAGCCGCTTCAACAGATTGTTGCACCCTTTCTCTTGCATCCTTCAGGTATTGAACTTTACTCTGGAGGTTCAGAGACTTGCTCCTGGGCTTGAATAAGTAACCAAGTTGTCGTGCAGTGGGATCGACGGTGTACTCAGCAGCTTTAGCAGCAAGAGATCCGACAATGGCAAAAAGAACCTCCATCTTTTCCCTTGATAAAAAATGATAAGTAGCAGAACAAACTATATAACAACTGGGAAGCAAACCCTTAGAAAAATAACAGTAACTGCGAGGGTTGGATTCAGAAATTAAAAAATGGGGGTCTAAAAATTTTAATATTTTTTTATTGAGGGTTTAAAAATTTTAATATTTTTCAATATAATAGGTATGTAAAAATTTTTTATTTTTTTATTTTTTTATTTTTTAATATATTGAATTATATTTAATATCTAATCTAAAATAATGAGTATATATTTGATTCCGATGTGATCATATGCATCCGCCCCTGGTCACTGCAGAAGGAAACAACAACATATTGAAGAAGATAGCATAATCATAATCAAAGATGAAAAAAACTATAGGGAATGAGCAGTGAGTTGAAGAAAGCATACCTCCTTTAGTTCAATTTTTGAGAAACAAAACAAAGTGAGATTGCAAACAGAGAGCAATGAAGTGGGAAAGTGATACTTCTCCTATAATAATATCACCATATTTACTTTAATGTTGCCTCCAATAATATATTCCCAAGCAGCAAGTCTTGGTCTTCCATGTCAGAACTTTTACTTTTACCTTTTTTCTTTTATATGATTAAAAAAAATTAAAGTTGAAAACTTTAGGAAATACTTTGTCGGTTTCAGATTAAAAAAAATTGATTACATATTTTATATAAAGTTGAAGGATATTAATTTTATATAAACTTTAGGGTAAAAGGATATTAATTAATAATACATCTAGCATCAAGTGGTAACAAGAAATAGGATTGGATATTAATTTTTATTTTATTTTATATCAAGTGGAAACAAGCAATAGCATCAAGTTGCTTTATATTTTATATAAAGTTAAAGGATATTAATTTTTGAACGCATTTTGGCTTAAACTAACCAGAATCAATAGGATTGGCAGTTGTCACAGAATTTTTGGCTATTAGAGAGAATCTCGGCCTGCAAAACTCGACCAACATCAAGTGGTTCTGGGGCATACATTGTTTTGTGTGCACCTGAAAACACAGAAAATTGGATCAGTTATTAGAGTAGGATGCAATGTAAATGATACAGGTTAACAAGCAATAATGTGTTTTATAGTCAGTATGATACTGAAAATCCGATCAGGACAAGTAGCAAGGATACCTGGAATCATTTCCCTCCAATTTCTATCAGATTATATTGGATGCCACTGAATCAAGGATCTTGAAATCAATGGAGCATTATCAGAATACTGCTGGAGTTATAAGCATGAACCAAGAGTTACAGAACCATGAAAACCCAAAACACGGGATTTGTTTTTTTGGGCCATCTTGTTAATTGCCAGCTGTAATAAACCAGCATAGGTTAGAATATCAGAAACTGTCATAGATCAGATCACACCATCCCAAATCCCACTCGCTAGTATCTAAGGCTTGATCGGTACTGTTTAATAACTTTAGTTGCTTTTTTGATATATTATTCTCCGAAAAATCAATAATACATGTAGCATCATTTTCACATTAATTACGCTCATGACATTATTTATTCAAAGACATAGTTGGACAAAGGTGTGTTTGGCCAATAAACCCTTTTTCTCTAAACTTCTTATTTTTTTTCTAAACTAAGTCATGCGTTCTTATATTTTTTGCATTTAGTCCATATAATTTAATTTAGTCAATTTTAGTTCATATAATCTTTTAATTTTAAAATTTCAGTCATAACTCAAACGGTACATGAATAATACGACTAAATTTTGGGCATGACCTAAACAATAGTTGATGAATCTATTAAGTCAAGTTCTATTCTTTTGATCAGTAAGTTGTAAATTTGATTGTTATTTTTTAAATTGATTATTTTAAGTCTATGCAATTTAGTCATGTTATCCATTCACCGTATAAGTACCACTAAAATTTTAAAATTCAAAAAATATATCATTAAATTTGTCAAACTAAAATTCGGAGACTAAATTCATAACTTACGCGTAGTCAAATAATTAACAAAAAATTTCACCCATAAATGGAAAGCATTTTAAGCCAACCACACCTTCCCCTCTTTAAAATTTTGGCCAAAGTTTATCATAACGTCATAGTTTTTGTATGAAAAATATTTTAAAATCTAATCATCGTATGAAAAATTGAACTAAGAATTGATAATTAGAGAATCCCAAAACATGTAAAACCCATAGGTTTGCAAATGAAATAGTAAAACTAAAAATTGAATTTTTAGACGAACGATAAACAAATGTTAAACGAACACTAAACGAATGTTAAATATATATGTTTATGAACTTATAAACGAAGATTTTCGCGAACAATAAATAAACGAACACAAAAACCTTCAAAAATAAATAAATGAACACAATATTAAAAATTTAAATGAACACGAACTGAACATGAACATTTTTTAAAAATAAATAAACGAACACGAACATAACCTTATACGTTCAAGCTCGGATCATTTACTCTTCTAGGTTTGAAGTAATTTAGAGGAAGTTATCTAATGGTAAATGCAGAAAAATTTTATTGGTTGGGATAATATAAATATAATAAAAATTTATTTAATATAATTCATATAGTTGTTTCAATTTAAAAATATAATAACAACTATATATATAGACAAAATCTAAAAAATTTATCATTTGGACAAATATATAACTTTTTAATATAACTTTTATATATGGATTAAGATCTACTTACACAATGTAAAATTCTTTAGTTTTACAGAGATTTAGGACCTTGGATGAGTGAAAATGGCTTAGATTAGGGATAGGATAGTGTTACACAATATAAAACTCTTTTAGTTTTACACAATTTAAGACCGTTGGATGAGCGAAAATAGATAGATGATATTAACAGTAGGAAATGAGAAGATATTCACTAGAAAAAAAGGAATCGATTTCAATAATCTATTTTTCACTCACCCAACAATCTATTTTCACTCACCCACTGACCATTCATCACCATTATCGTCGCCTCAAATCTCTAATTTAACAGTGTCATGATTACACAAAACAAACTGAATTTAATTAGGTGAGTACGGAGCAGCTTTTGTTAAATTAAAAAGGAAAAAGAGCTTGCGAAAATGACCACCAAAGCAGCTGAAGAAGAGGGTTGTTGTAACACCCCAATTTAGGGGTTAAATTTAAGAAAATATAAATTGGTGGATTTAATTGGTATTTTGAAAGAAACGGTGGATTAAATTGAAAAATTTCAAAGTTGGCATACCGTTTTAAGAAGTGCAAAAAATTCAGTGGCTAAACCCAGAATTTAACCATTTTTTTATATGATGAGTTATAAAACTCTCCCCGTGCGCAGTTCAGCATAAATTTTTCCAGTTTTCCCTCTCCGATCAACCAACTTTCAACTCCGATCTACTCACCATCCGACCTCCGATCGACGAGCCGAAACCACCATCGTGTTCGTTGTCAACCGAGGAACAAAACCCCTCAAACCTTTCATCGTGAATCGTCGTCGTTCGTCGTTAATTTCAGTCAGAAGTATCGTCGGTAATAACTCAATTTCAATTGGTTTTTCATCGATTCACGACGATACTATGATCCGTTTACGACACCTCCCGCACCATCGTGTTCCTTGCATCGTTCCGAGTCCACCGATGTCATCCTTGGTCTCCGTCGACGGCGGCGCGTGAGGAGGTGAAGCGGTCAAAGTTTCCGATTCGTTGAAATCGAGCTCTCCGCCGTTCAAAAATTTGAACCGAGCTTTGTAAGTATCTCTAAATCGCTTAAAATAATTTTTAGGAACTTTTTTTCGGGACTTTTCCGATATCAGGGTACTGTTCACGCGCCGCCATTGCGCGTGGGGAAGAAAAAATAACCAGTTTGACCGGTTTTGCTCCTATTTTGACCAGTTTGACCGGTCATAACCCGACCCGACCCGTTGACCCGACCCGTTGACTGACGTTGACCACTGTTGACCAAAACTTTGACTGGCTTTGATCGGGCATTAAACGACCTTTGACTTTGACCGAGTATACCTATCCTGACATTTTTCGACATTCCAAATCCGATTCCACAGTCCATTTTTTGAAATTCGAACCCGAAGGCCTCGAAATTGTCGGTCAAACCTGTTGACTTTGATTTTGACTGAAAATTCCAAATTTTCGAAAAGTCATATTTTATGCTTTCGACGTCCTGAATCTGAATCCGAATCCGAAGTCCGTTTTGCCAAATTCGAACCCGGTAAGTTGTTTTTCACTGATTTATAACCCGATTCGATCCGTTTATCGTAATTAAGCTCCGTTTTTGATATAATTTATGTTAATATATATATCTGAGGAATTATTGGAAGTTGAATTGAAGATCAAGGGCGTTCGAATGGAATTTTATACTTTACTATCTCTTTATACTTTATGGAACATGTGAATATTGGTAAATGCATGATTAAGAAAATGTTGGTCTCATTTGAGTAGTTAATTAGTTTCTACACTCGATCTGAATACGGTAAAAGGGTTCAGTAATTGATTATGGTTCAGATCATTTTTATAAGAAATTGAGGGATTGTTAGAATTAAATTACAAGTTCTGTGCTTAGTGATAAAGAAATCAACATGGATTTGTAACTTATAGGTTATTTCATCAAAGGTTAAATGTTAAAGGTACTTGGATGGGAAATTGTGATAATACTATGGTAGGGTAAAATTACGAAAATACCCTTAAGTTGTAAGATGTCAAGAATTATCCCTGGAAGTTGATTAATAACTCTGAAAGGATATATTGATATGATAAAACTACAAATGTGCTTAAGAAATGCTAGATTTTGTTTACGAAATACGGATAACCGATTTTTAACCCCTAGAGGGTTTGTGCAAGATATTAGAATTCTATTAAGGAATCATTTCAAGATAAGAGAATGTTCGGGAAAGTAATTGATCATAGGATCTCTAAATTATAATCATTTTCGTTAAGAGCTAATATTGAAATTAACTGGTTAAGAAATTAAAGAAAAGCCCTTGAGAGGTAATATAGTCCGAGTTGACCCTGAATGAGAAAATCCTTTGAGGATTCATACTTAACTCGATTAAGTACGGGTTTGATTGTTAAGATCCTGACTTAGTTCAGGAAAATTCATGATATTCCGTTTGTAAAATCTGAGAAT